AAAATTATTATTTAAAGTTCGTAATAGATGCTACGGCTTAAGACAGAAAATGGGCAATGTAGGTCCACGTCTTCGTATAGCCCCCATGTAACGGTACCCCCCCCCCCCCCCCCCCCCCCCATATTCGGCATTTTGATCATTTTAGCGACATTATTTACCGGAATTGTTTCAATTTTGGTACTTGCAGTTCGTAAAGGATGCTACAGCCTATCACAGAAAATTGTCCATGCAGGTCCACGTCTTCGTATAGCTCCCATATTACGGTTCCACCCGATATTCGGTATTTTGATGATTTTAACGACACTATTCCGGGAATTGTTTCAAATTTGGTATTTGAAGTTCGAAATGGATACTACAGCCTAAGGCAGAAAATAATCTGTGTAGGTCGACGTCTTCGTATAGCCCCCATATTACGGTTCCACCCGATATTCGGTATTTTGATGATATTAGCGACTTTATTCACCGGAAATGTTCGTAATGTATAGTACATCCTAAGAGAGGAAATTGTCTGCGCAGGTCCACATCTTCGTATAGCCCCCATATAACGGTATCCCCACAATATTCGGTATTTTGATGATTTCACTATTCACCTATTTTTTTTTTAAGTTTCACATTTGAATATTGTAATGACTTATGACAAAAGTTACCTATGCAGGTCCATGTCGTCGTATAGCTATATTCGGTATTTTTAATATTTTAACAGAATTGTTAATGGATTTTATTGTTTTGAGAATTGCCAAAGTCCTTCCAAATAGTGGAGGGTATTCAAAGTTCGGCCCGGCCGAACTTATAGCTTTTTTACTTGTTTTATCTCACGCCGATGTGATATTGTTATTGTTGTTGTTATTACACTTTGACACGATTCTTTAGCATATCTTGTACATATATCTAGTTTTGTAGAAGCTAATAATTTTTTAATTATTTTTATTTTTTTTTTTGGAAATGAAGCCTGTTTACTGATTTTGAGAGATTATTTTTTTTGGATGCATTATTCCGGCTACTGAGTTTTCTGCAGCGAAATCCGGGTTAATGGGTATTTCCAACCTTACCGACAATAGTTATAATTCGAAAGTCTATGAAAATACCTATCTAACAAGTGTTCAAATCTACAAGGGTTTTTATGGGTCCGGATATTTTTTTTTAACCTCCAAAAAGTCGAAGTCCAAAATATATATGCCAAAGTATGGCTGACACTCTAATCTCCACGAAATGGCATCATATATATCCCAATGATGTGAGTCTTTGAAGACATACAACCTGTGTAAGAATTCTGCACCAGTTTGTACTTTTCGTACCCTTAAGGCACGAAATTCCACTCCAGACTTTTTTAATGACTCTCATACCAAACTTCTACCAAATTTCTAAATTCAGACAATTTACCTGGTCCTCGATAGGCCAGTTGGTAAGTCCTATATCCTTGTAAATCTTCCTTTTCTTCTCCTTAAGTATCCTTCAAACTGGGTGTCAACGAGTTAACCGTTTTTAACCATTTAATGAAAACAATCGACTTTTCATGGTAATTTTCACACTTCTTCCACAAAAAAAAAAAACTGGAAGGACCAAGTAAATAAATCCTTTAATGATAACCAAATGCCCCCAAGGACTCATTATGGTTGGTGTACATTAACAATGAGCAACAGCAACAACAACAACCAAAACAATAAGCCTTTTGATAATTTCATATTATTTTAAATGTTCTGCAATAGCCCTTTTCGTTTAAAGGATTTTACGCCTTTTTATGTTTTCCGCTGACCATGTTGGTCCTTTTTTTATTATCCTTTGCAGGATTGCTGCTTTGCTTAATTATTTGCATAGTTCAGAGTACTTAGAGGGATGATTGAGTTGTCGGCATATTATTGTGAGTATCATGACTGGTCATGTCATGTCCTTTTTATGTCCTGGTTTAATCCTTATATATTTTTTTTACTAAGCTGGACATTAGTGGTTGATTTTGTTGCCTTTTTGGGATTTATATTCATTTGAGTTTCAAATGTTAACAGGACTTTCCACAATTCCCCCTGTTGCTGTTGTGAGGGCAGAGAGAGAGAGAGAGAGTGTGTGTGTGTGTATTTGTAATTAGCTTAATGCTGGCCTCTTTGCAATTAACATATTTTATTAGAATATTTATTTATTTTTTTTCACTCGCTCCTGAATTCATGCCTAAAGTTATTCCGCTTCGTCTAATTTCAACTATTGTCCGAATCGGAAACAAAAATCCATGGCCTTTTCTTTTTATCTCAAATTCTATCGATTCCACGATGCCCTCAGGGAGATCAAAGTCGTTCTCCGGTCGAATGCATCTTCTGCCAGTGGTTTGATTAGCCAGCCACTGATGAAAAGAGTCAAATTAATGAGTGCCGAATGCGGGGTGGTGGTAGCTGCTGGTCTCACTGGGCTTCTGCGTATGCTTCATTAGAATATGGTTCATTCGTTCGTTCATTAAAGCTATTCAGTTCTATATTTGTTATATTGTTGTAATTATTGTTGTTGTTGTACCACATATTAACCTCTTGATGAAATACAAGCAATTCATTTGTGTATTCCATATGGAATACACTGCCACTCATCAACCTGACACATGTCATAACAATGTCCTGATGTGTGTGTGTGTGTGTGTGTGTGTGTGTGTGTGTGTTAATAAATGTAACATTGCACCTTGCCGGATTCAGGGTGGGAGGAAGGTCAGGAAGTTTTTGCTTTGATTAGGTTGGATTGCAAAGGAAGTTTTCTCGGTCTGATGACCTCGAAATATATTTTTATGTGAACAAAAGAGAATGAGAGAGAGAGAGAGAGAGAGGAGGGATTTTTGGAAATTTACACATTAAGGGGGTACGAAATGTACTAAAACGTACAAAAATCGCACAAAAGTGTCAGAGATACAAATGCTTAACATTTTTGGACGGGGGTCATTCTTGAATGAATTTATTCGTGATTTTTTTGGAAAAAAAGGTACAAACCTTGAGAGAGAGGGAGGAAGGAGTTTTGGGAATTCACACATTAAATGGGTACAAAATGTACTAAATTGTACAAAAATCGTACAAAAGTGTCAGAGATACAAATGCTTAAAATTTTGGAAGAGGGTCATTTTTGAACGAATTAATTCGTGATTTTGGGGAAAAAAGATACAAACCTTGAATGTACCAAAAGTACAAAAAAAGGTCCAAAATAGTACTAGATTTTTGAAATTTTTCGATGAAACTCAGCTTTGGAAACAAAAAATACAAAATCGTACAATACGCAAAGGAGCTCAAATGTTGACATTGTGCTTCAGTAGAAAAACAAGCAAAAAGGCAGCTAAGTTCGGCCGGACCGAACTTTTAATACCCTCCACCATTTCGAAGGAAAAAAAATACGAAAACTACCACTTAAATGAAAACCGTTATATGGAGACTATACGCAGACGTGGACCTGCATACGAAATTGTATGTCATAGGCTGTAATGCCCACTACGACCTTCAAATACGAAATTTGAAATAATTCCGGTAAATAATGTCGCTAAAATCGCCAAATTACCGAAAATAGGGAGGTGCCATTATATGGAAGCTATAGGAAGATCTAGATCTGCATACATCTGCATTTTTTGCCACAGCTTACAGTAGCTATTAGGATCTTTCAGTACGAAATTTGAAACGATTCCGGTGAATAATGTTGCTAAAATCATCAAAATACCGAATATCCGGGGGTACAGTTATATGGGGGCTATACAAAGGTCTAGATCTGCATACAACATTTTTTTTTTGCCACAGCTTACAGTAGCTATTAGGATCTTTCAGTACGAAATTTTAAACGATTCCGGTGAATAATGTTGCTGAAATCATCAAAATACCGAATATCGGGAGGTACCGTTATATGGGGGCTATACGAAGACTTGGACCTGCATACAAAAATTGTTGTCATAGGCTGTAGTACCCATTACGAACTTCAAATACCAAATTTGAAATATTTCCGGTGAATAATGAAGCTTAATTCACCAAAATACCAAAAATATGGAGGTACCATTATATGGGGGCTATACCAAAACGTGGACATAACCCGCTTTCAATACCAAAAGTCCTGCAGACATGATACACATTTGAGTAAAATGTTATCAACCTACTTCATTTCGTTCGGAAGCTAGAGTTAATTTCACAGACGGATAGGCGGACAGACGGACAGACAGACGGATGGACGGACTGACGGTGTGACAGGACTAAATCGGAAACCAGAAATTTTACCCTGATCAAGAATGTTATGTTATATTGTGTCTTAAAATATTATTTCTTTGAGTTAAATACGGAATGACGAACTTAATATACCATCCATACTAGGTATGGTGGAGGGTATCATACGACATGTTCCTAAGACTACTTTTCTAAGGATCACTTGTTTGAAAATATATTTTCTACAAATATTTCATTATAAAATTTAAAAACTTGGATAAAAAAATATTTTTTTCCGAAGACCTCAAATGTTTTTCAAAGGATCAAAAATTCCACAAACTTGGATTTTTTTATAAATATTTTTTCCAGAATTCAAAAGGACCAACAAAGGCAAAAAGTGCAGTTAAGATATTTCTTCCCTATTATAATATCCCATTTCATACTTATCCAAATAAACACCCTTGTTATAAATTTTCCTTCAAACTCCTGCCACGTTCCAGGCTGTCTCCTAAAATCCCATAAAACTATCTAAAACATTAATGAACTATGAAATATATCACTTTTTTCAGAAACAATATCACGAAATTAGTTGTCCCCTTTTGGCATAAAACCGAATATGGATATGCTCTTATTATCCTTCACATCAAGGATATTCATACATATCCCCATTTCCCCGTACATAATTAATATGCATTCCTTCATTTACATAAAATTCCAATTACAATTCGGAATTTTATTACGTTTTATGTTTTCATGGTTTTTGGAATGGATGGCAGAAGGGAAGCAAGGACAGACAGACAAACGAACGGACGACCTTTTCACTCAACACTTTATCAGTTCGCATTTTCCTTACAATCTTACCCTCCTTGTTAAGCGGCGTCCTCATATCCCTTTCGCCATGTCCTTAACCATTGTTACGGGGCAAAAATAGTTTTGGCGTCCGCCAGCCATGATTTTGTCTTGTGGCAATGGTTTCATTAGGAAAAAAGGTTTTCAGTTTTATTTTCCGATTACATTTCGATTGGTATTTTGTTTCTTATTTGTTTTTTTTTTCTTTTTTGTCCTGTGTGTTTGTATGTAAATCTGGGGCCCTTTTTGATTTGTTTCTCAAGGTTGAGTTGCATCAAATTTCATTACTTACCACCAATTAAAAGGGGGAGAACTAAGTCTTGGGCGTAATTCTTGCCTTTCATCTTTGCCGTATTCATAATAATTGATTTTCCATAGAGGTTTTGCGGCCAGTATTAGAACAAAAAATTCAATTTTGATTTGAATTTCTATCGATTTCTGAGAAGGGAGATCATGAAATCGCTATAAGTTATTTGTGGATGGGTAAATAAAATATGGGTAAAACATTTTTATTTTCGAAATTGTAACGCATCATTTCTCCTTTCTGTTGATCCTTGAAAAAATATTCTTTAAAAATTCCACGTTTGTCCTGGTCCTTGAAAAAATATTTTTTATTTTATATTTTTGCCCTTTTTTTGAAAAATATTTTTTAAAAAATCCACGTTTGCCCTAGTCCATGAAAAATATTTTTTAAAAAATCCACGTTTGCCCTAGTCCATGAAAAATATTTTTTAAAAAATCCACGTTTGCCCTAGTCCATGAAAAATATTTTTTAAAAAATCCACGTTTGTCCTAGTCCATGAAAAATATTTTTTTAAGAATCTCCGTTTGTCCTGGTGCTTGAAAAAATATTCTTTAAAAAGTCTACATTTGTCATGGTGCTTCAAAAAATATTCTTTAAAAATCTGCATTTCTGCTGGTTTTTAAAAAAATAATTCTTTAAAAATCCACATTTCTGCTGGTCTTTCAAAAAATTTCTTTAAAAAAATCCACATTTCTGCTAGTCTTTCAAAAAATTCTTTAAAAAATCCACGTTTGTCCGGTGCTTAAAAAAATATTCTTTGAAAAATCCACGTTTCTTGTGGTCCTTGAAAAATATTCCTTAAAAATCAACGTTTGTCCTGGTGCTTGAAAAATATTCTTTAAAAAATCCACGTTTGTTGTGGTCTCTAAATCTCTAAAAAATATTCTTTAAAAAATCCACGTTTCTGTTAATCCTTGAAAAAATATTCTTTAAACAATCCACGTTTCTGTTAATCCTTGAAAAAATATTCTTTAAAAAATCCACGTTTGTTGTGGTCTCTAAATCTCTAAAAAATATTCTTTAAAAAATCCACGTTTGTTCTGGTCCTTGAAAAAATATTCTTCAAAAAATCGACGTTCGTTGCGGTCCTTGAAAAAATATTCGTTAAAAAATCCACGTTTGTCCTAGTCCTTGAAAAACTCCATGTTTGTCCTGGTCTTTAAAAAAATATTTTTTTAAAAATCCACGGTTGTTTTGGTCCTTGAAAAAATATTTTTTAAAAAATCCAGGTTTGTTGTGGTCCTTGAAAAAATATTCTTTAAAAAATCCACGTTTGATGTGGTTTTTGAAAAAATATTCTTTAAAAAATCCACGTTTGATGTGGTTTTTGAAAAAATTCTTTGGAAAATTCACGTTTGTCCTGGTGCTTGAAAAAATATTCCTTAAAAAATCCACGTTTGTCCTGGTGCTTGAAGAAATATTCTTTAAAAAATCCACGTTTGTTGTGGTCCTTGAGAAAATATTCTTTAAAAAATCCACGTTTGTCCGGGTCCTTGAAAAAATATTCTTTAAAAAAATCCACGTTTGTTTTGGTTCTTAAAACAATATTCTTTAAAAAAATCCACGTTTGTCCTGGTGCTTGAAAAAATATTTTTTAAAAAATCCACGTCTCTGTTGGTCCTTGAAAAAATATTCTTTAAAAAATCCACGTTTGTCCTGGTCCTTGAAAATAAATTCTTTAAAAAATCCACGTTTGTCCTGGTGCTTGAAAAAATATTCTTTAAAAAATCCACGTTTGTTGTGGTCCTTAAAAACATATTCTTTAAAAAATCCACGTTTGTCCTGGTCCTTGAAAAAATATTCATTAAAAAAATCCACATTTCTGCAGGATCTTGAAAAGATATACTTTAAAAAAATCCACATTTCTGCAGGTCCTTGAAAAATATTTTTTAAAACCCACGTTTATCCTGGTCCTTGAAAAATATTTTTTTAAAAAATCCACATTTGTTTTGGTCCTTGAAAAAACATTGCTTAAAAAATCCACGTTTGTCCTGGTCCTTGAAAAAATATTCTTAAAAAAATCCATGTTTGTTGTGGTCCTTGAAAAAATATTCTTTAAAAAATCCACGTTTGTTCCGGTCCTTGAAAAAATATTTTTTTAATAAATCCACGTTTGTCCCGGTCCTTGAAAAAATATTTTTTTAATAAATCCACGTTTGTCCAGATCTTTGAAAACACATTTTTTTAGTTCTTGAAAAAATATTCTTTAAAAAATCCACGTTTGTCCCGGTCCTTGAAAAAATATTTTTTTAATAAATCCACGTTTGTCCAGGTCTTTGAAAACACATTTTTTTAGTTCTTGAAAAAATATTCTTTAAAAAAATCCACGTTTGTTGTGGTCCTTGAAATAATATTCTTTAAAAAAATCTACGTTTGTCTTGGTCCTTTAAATTTATTTAAGAATCCCCGTTTGTCCTGGTCCTTGAAAAAAATTTGTTTTAAAACCCACGTTTGTCCTGGTCTTTGAAAAAATATTTTTAAAAAAATCCACTTTTCTGCTGGTCCTTGAGAAAATATTCTTTTAAACAATCCACGTTTGTCCTGGCGCTTGAAAAAATATTCTTTAAAAAATCCACGTCTGTCCTAGCCTTAAAAATATTCTTTTAAAAATCCACGTTTGTTGTGGTCCTTGAAAAAATATTCTTTAAAAAAAACCAAGTTTGTCATGGTCCTTGAAAAAAATGTTTCTTAAAAAATCCACGTTTGTCCTGGTCCTTGAAAAATATTTTTAATAAATCCACGTTTGTTGTGGTACTTGAAAAAATATTCTTTAAAAAATTCGCGTCTGTTTATCCTTAAAAAAATATTCTTTAAGAAATCAATGTTTGTCCTGGCCCTTGAAAAAATATTCTTTAAAAAGTCTACATTTGTCATGGTGCTTCAAAAAATATTCTTTAAAAAATCCGCCTTTCTGCTGGTCTTTAAAAAAAAATTCTTTAAAAAAATCCACATTTCTGCTAGTCTTTCAAAAAATTCTTTAAAAAATCCAAGTTTGTCCTGGTGCTTGAAAAAATATTCTTTAAAAATTCACGTTTGTTGTGGTTCTTGAAAAAATATTCTTAAAAAAATCCACGTTTGTTGTGGTTCTTGAAAAAATATTCTTTAAAAAATCCACGTTTGTCCTGATGCTTGAAAAAATATTCTTTAAAAAATCCACGTATCTGCTGGTCCTTGCAAAAATATTCTGTAAAAAATCTACGTTTGTCCTGGTCCTTGAAAAAATATTCTTTAAAAAATCCAAGTTTCTGCTGGTCCTTGCAAAAATATTCTTTAAAAAATCCACGTTTCTGTTGGACCTTCAAAAAATATTTTTTTAAAAAATCCACGTTTCTGTTGGACCTTCAAAAAATATTTTTTTAAAAAATCCACGTTTCTGTTGGACCTTCAAAAAATATTTTTTTAAAAAATCCACGTTTCTGTTGGACCTTCAAAAAATATTTTTTTAAAAAATCCACGTTTGGTCCTTGAAAAAATATTTTTTTAAAAAATCCACGTTTGGTCCTTGAAAAAATATTTTTTTAAAAAATCCACGTTTGGTCCTTGAAAAAATATTCTTTAAATAATCCACGTTTGCTGTGGTCCTTGAAAAAATATTCTTAAAAAATTCCACGTTTGTTGTGGTCCTTGAAAAAAAAATTCTTTAAAAAAATCCACGTTTGTTGTGGTCCTTGAAAAAATATTCTTTAAAAAAATCCACGTTTGTCCTTGACCTTGAAAAATATTTTTTTAATTTAATTTTTTTGTTGGTCCTTGAAAAAATTGTCTTTTTATCCGCCTCCTTTGAAAAAATTTCCTTGCCTTCAATTTTTCAATTCCTTGTCTTCTAAGGACAAATATCTAAAAGTCCTGTTTCTATCCTTCGCATCGAATTTCACTTTCCATTTTAATTGTCACGTTTACATTTGTTCGCCTGCGATGTTTGTGTTATTGTTTTACACTTTGACATGTAACACCGTCGATTAAGTTGGACTGCAAGGATATCAAAAGGCCGGGCTGGACATCTCCACCCCCTCTTCCAAAACAAATGGCAACATCTGTCGTTGTTTTTGAAATACTGAAATTTCAGTTCGATTTTCTTCAGGAACCAAATATGATTTTTTATGCCATCTTTTTGAAGGTTTGTTTGTTTATTTATTTTGTTGTTGTTGTTTTTAGTCCTTTTTAAGTCTGCTGCTGCTACTGACTTAATATCATATTTTCTGCTCTCCCCTGCCCTCCCCGTTTACCCCTGCTTTCTGTGTTTTAATGTTCTCTAAGAAATTTATGTTTGACTTGGAACAATGCCTACTCATGCTGATGTTGGGCTTTTGGAGCGCTCAGCGGCGACGGGTGGTTTCACCGACAACAACAACAAAAACAAAGAACCCCAGACTTTCTACTTATAACCGAAATATTGACAATTTTTTTTAGATTTAACGACGACGTCATTTGCCGTTGTTTTTTGCTTCCATGCGGCCCCTGAAGTACCTGAGAGTGTGTGCGGTTTTTTTACCCTCATCATGTGGGGGTTGAAATCGAAACGTGAGGGTAACGACCAACAGAAAAAAAAAATGCGTGTTTTTTTTTTTTTTTTTGTATCCAGCGTGGCAGCGCCGGCTGCTCTTGAAAATTTTCAGACGCTCTGTATTCAAAATACGGAATACTGGAGTGAAAAAAAATTTGCAGGAATTTTTTTGGAATCTACACACTACTTCTTTTTTAGAAATTCGCTCATATAAGGGATGATTTAGGAT